ATTTTGTTTTCCCATACAACAAGACTAATAATCTTATAATTATAGTACAGGATGAGCTTATTGGAAATAGTTATTATGTAATATAAAAACAAACAATTTAATATCAAAGAACACAAACAAATTTATATAAATTTCAAAGGGTATATTAATTATATAAACTAAAAATTGATTTCCGAAACTGCGTTGCATTGCTTTCAAATTGAATAGATGACGGCAGAGAGTTCCAAAGACGAATGCAATGTAGAAACAAGTCAGAGTGCTATATTCGGCTGAGCCGAATCTTAAATACCATCCACCAGCTACTTATACATATATTAATACTTTTCTAATTGATCAAATATTTGTAGAAATAAGTTTTCTCATGTCTTGAATAGAAACAAGTCAGAGTGCTATATTCGGCTGAGCCGAGTCTTAAATACCCTCTTACCCCCTACTTATACATATATTAATACTTTTCTAATTGATCAAATATTTGTGGAAATAAGTTTTCTCATGTCTTGAATAGAAAAAATACAAAGATTTAAACAGCTTAAATCTATTACAATTCCATGATTTATTGAACATTACAAACGCCAGTTTCTTTATATTTTTATAGCGCTTAGCGATATTTAGTAATTTGCATGTATGCAAGTGTGTGAAAGATTTAAGTATTTTCAAAATACATAATGAGTTATGTGCGTTTAAGTGATTCTCGGGAGGGAACCTTGTATGGGAGCTATGACCAAGTATGGACCATTCGTGAAAAAATTTTGAAATAACATTTATGTGTACAAAAATAGTATTTATGCCAAATATTTTATGGGTATCGCTGTTTGGTAATAAGTTATGTGCCTTTAAGTGTTTTTCTGAAAGGGACCTTGTATAGCAGCTATGATCAGGTCTGGACCGATAGGAAAACAATTTCACAGTAATATTTCTCTGTATATGGCAATTGACTTGTGTTGACTTGTGCCAAACTTTATATGTTTGGCACAAGTATTAACCCTTTCAGGGTCAAAAATAATTTATGTCTAGAAAAAAACTTGAAAACTTATATTTAAGATAATTTGAGTATGCTGAATCCAGGATAAATAATATTTTTTTAATTTGAGTTTTCCCTAGTGAGTTATAGAAGGTCAAAATTAAATGTCGAATATATTCGACATTCGAAAAACAGTCTCCAAAAAGTACCACCAATATTTTTTTATGATTTTTTTTTTAAATGTCTTCTTAAACTTCTTTCAATACAATACAATTTAAATCTGCATAGTCCGATCTCCTAAAATACAATTTTTTTGGCCATTAAATGAAGCTGTTTTTTAAGCGTTGTTAGAAAGCACGTTTTAAAAAGTAGTCATAAGTGACAATTTCTTAAAATCTGATTTTTAAATATTTTAAAATACGGAAGATCTTTCAAAATCTCAATTACAAATATAATAAAGTCTTCATTTTCATTTAAAAGAAACAAATTAAAACTAAAGTTAAATATTATACCAAAAAAATGCGTAAAAACACAGTCTATTGTAATGTAGAATATATTCGACAAAACCACGGAAAGGGTTAATTTAGTAAAGAGTTATGCGCGTTTAAGTGATTTTCGGGAGGGGACCTTGTATGGGAGCTATGACCAATTATGGACCGATCGGAAAAAACTTTCACAGTAATATTTCTATGCATATGGGCAATACTTATGCCAAATTTTATATGAATATCTTAATTTAGTAATGAGTTATGCTCGTTTAAGTGATTTTCGAGAGGGGACCTTGTATGGGAGCTATGACCAATTATGGAGCGGTAAGAAAAAAATTTCACAGTAATATTTCTATATATAAGAGCAATACTTGTACCAAATTTTATATTTATATCTTAATTTAGTAATGAGTTTTGCGCGTTTAAGTGATTTTCGGGAGGGGACCCTGTATGGGAGCTATGTGCAATTATGGACCGATCCAGAAAATTTTTTCTCCGAATGAGTTCTATTGACATAAGATTTTAATTTGTAAAATTTTGTTAAGATATCGACATTGTGACGGAAGTTATTAACAAAAAACTCATTTTCCGGGAATATGTACTTTTATATGGGAGTTATATGAAATTGTGGTCAGATTTTGTGGCAATTTTAAGCAGGGATCAAGCTCTGTTATAGAAACTAATGTGTGGTGATTTTCGTGGAATTATCTTGCATAGTTTTCGAGAAAATTACATCAGAATGTGTAAAAAATTCTTGTTTTTTTCGAGATTGTTTTAAATTTTGATTCATAACTTTTCCCGGTGTCAACCGATTTTGCCCATTTTCAATACCAAATAACTTAGGAAACTGAGGATAATTTTTGGTGAATTTGGTTAAATCCTATTGCTTCGTTTTATCGTGAGCGTGTTTTACACAGACAGACGGACATAGCTAAATCGACTCAGAATTTGATAAAGACGCAGAGTATATATACTTTGTTGGATCTCAGATGAATAATTCTTGGTGTTACACATGGAATGACAAATCATTCCATGTCTATCACCACTGTTGGTGGTGGAGGGTATACAAAATTCCACCAATATAATAAGAATACAATTTTAAATTATAGCTTATTAAAAAATTAAATGGTGTGCTTTGACAGTTGTGTCTACCTCAAATAAAAGAATTAGTGATCAGCTGTTGAATTCAATTCACCTTATGAATGCACCCTGGTTATAGCCATTTTTATTTCGCAAATATGTTGAAAAAATTACTAAAGGGACCTTCACACGGTCACACTTTACGTACGACAAGTCTAATGAAAAAGTAAAATGAAATTCCATCCGTATGACAAAAAAGAGAATAAAAGTCGTATGATTTATATTATTTTGTGTTTACACGATTGGTATAAAACAATAACAAAGTAAGATGGAACAGCTGTTTCACTTTTTTTGTATGTGTTTACATAAAAATACATCCCTGATCTAATGCGACTTGCTTGTTTTTTGAATCATTTCAAAAAATGAAGAGAGCCATACGACTGTCAAATTTTCCATCCGTATTTTATATATTTTTTTTAAATATATGAATGTATGTAGTAAATGATGAATGAATTGAACGATGAACGAATGAATGAATTTATGAATTGATAAATGAATGAATGAATAAATTAATTAATTGATTAATTAATGAATTAATTCATGAATGAATTAATAAATGAATATGTGTATGTATGTATGAATATGTGTATGTATGTGTAAATGTATGGGTGTATGTATGTGTGTGTATGTATTTTTAAATGTCCGAAATGTATGTAAGTTAAAGTCCAATGTCCGAAGAAGTTTGCACAATTATTTATGAATTTCCCTTATCTTCTTTGGTAATTATTCGATGAACCGAAAATATCAGTGAATTCATCTACTCAAATTTAAGGAATAGAATTCTATTCAATATGTTTAGATGAAAGTACTGATATAAACGACATTGCCCAGTTAATGATTTGTGTGAAAATTGTTGATAATTAAATGATAACTAGTTCCTTTACATGGAAATGTAGAAGGAGCTTTTATTCGATATAAAAAATGAAGAAGTTTTTCCCTTTGCGAATGGTAAGAAAAATGTAGGTTTCGTAGGAAATTTAATAAAAAATAATTTTAATATATTTGCTCTTCATTGTATCATACATCAGAAAGCATTATTCACAAAAAATCTGAATGTAATGTAATCTGAATGTAAACTCATAGCAAGAGCGTAAAAAAACAAAAAATTATCTTCAGTTGCTTAACAGCATTCAAAAGTGTAGGTTGATGTCGCTTTGTTTCAAAAAATTTTACTAATGCATAAGAATGAAAACACATAAAAACAATATTTTTAATACTTTTTTTACACATTTTAAATAAAAAACTTTATCTTTGTGAAGAAATATATATTTTTCTTTGAATATGTTTTATCCGTAAAATTTACTTGTTATGAAATTTGATCATAACAAGCGTAGTTAGGCAATATTTTTTCTAAGTGTTTTTTAGTATTTTCTCACCACTACAATAACAGTTTCTTAGCGTCTCTCTTTCTGCGCTTCGCTGATTTAGGGACTTTTTTACCATTATTATAAGATTTATATTATTTAAGTCTCCGTAACCAATTAACATGAGAAATATATATATATAAATGTTATTTAGCAAACAATATTTTTTTGGTTATAGATAACTAAAATTTATTTAATTTATTAATGCTTAGGATATCAATAAATATTTTGGGTGAATTTCATAAAGTGCCGTTGCTTCGTTTTAACGTGAGCGTGTTATATACAGACGGACAGACAGGCGGACATATCTAAATCGACTCAGAATTTCATAAGGTGTTACAAACGGAATGACAAACTTATATATACCCTTTATCACCACTGATGGTGGTGGAGGGTATAAAAATATAACCAATTTGTAGCCAAAAAAATATATTTCTCTCTGGTATTAGTTACGACGACCAAAATCAAATATATCTTATAATAATGGTTAATTATAACACTTATTTTAAATCCATCACTATTAATTGTTAAATGAGACCTTTTTGACATTTTTCTTATAACCGTTGCGTCCCTGCTTAAAATGCAAAATTTTTTTAATATATGACTTGGAAAATTGTCAATGACTTTGTTGCTTGTCCTTTGATATAAATGTTTTATACCTCGTTGGATAGGCAATTTTTGGTCGAATTGTTAGGAAAATATAATTTTGTGGTATAATCTTAAAGAAATCAAAAAAAGTCCTCTTATTTAATCAATTTTATACTTTTCAATTGATTTCCGACACGGTTTCCTGTTATCTGTGGCCAAAATGAGCCACATCCAAAAAAATCGATATTTTTTGGGCACCTCTAATGTACATATATAAATAGTGGACCATCAAAAATGACAGTGCTTCTTCCCATAAAAAGTATATGTATATGAAAAATCATAAACGTTGTTTATATTGTTTTTAGGGTAGCAAAGCACACTCGGTATAGCTGGGTATATACTTTTTGTAGTTGTGAAAATTATGATAACATAAACAATTTTTATTCGTTTTATTTTTAGGCACCTTAAAACTGAACACTGCTTAGATGATCGCTCGACGGCACAGGCTCGAGTTCAAATGCAGGTTGTTTCTCAGCTCGAGATGCACTTGCAAAAGGAACGTGACCGTTTACAGGCCATGATGCATCATTTATATTTAACTAAACACTTCGTAATGCCTGAAGAGTCACAGGTTCAAGTACTTTGTGTATTAATAACTACTGTATAAAAAAAAAATAATTATGTTTTTTCTCATATTGTATTAGGAAAACATTTCACATATCCGATATAAAAATGCTATTAGATCAGTGTCTACAACGCCGGATTTAAATAGAAGCAATAATAATAGTAACGATGATTCTGATGGTGCAAATGATTTGCAATCTTTTCTAATGAGTTCTACCAATATGAGCGCCACAAGAAAACGTATATGTGACAAAAGTCCATTAGCATTAGCAGGCGGTAAGTTGTTAATAAATATGTATAAAATTCCGGTAAAATCTTTTTTAATCTGAAAATTTGTATTGACATTTTTTACAACTTTTTAGACGAACACAAAACCGATATGATTTGTCATAAAACAAATACAGAAATAATATTTTATTTTTTTATATTTTAACCATTAAACATTTACATTATGACATTTTTAGATTTTAGGGTAAATAGCGCCAAAAAAATTATAAATTATTTTTCTCCCTAAACAGATGTGGCAATAATCCTGTTACTATGTACATAAGGTGGTCCCCAAAAAGGAAGTTGCTGATGTTCCCACCGAAAATGAAAATTTAGTTCATTCTTAGATAACATTTCTCAAAATGTTTGTCCTTTCGTCAATAAAAAAACCTTAAAAAAGAGCTTAAAAAGGCCCTTTTTTAAGGTTTTTATGATTTTTTTCATACTTCTTGCAAATAAACCATATGTAAATCATATGAAAGGTCTTTGGGGGACGATTTCATCGACATAACACAATTTTGTATACAATTCCAAAATTATCACAAAGTCTTATTTTTTTCGGAAAATTTTTAAGATTTTCAAACTTTTACATAGATTTATTTAATGTAATTAATTGAAATTATCTATATATATTAGGCTTCACGCAATATTTTTGAAATTGTGATATCATACCTTTTATGACAGTTTTTGGAACAGCGCTAATATTGACGTAATTATTTTGTTAAAATTTCAACTCCTTCATCTGCATATCTGCAGCCAAAATACCGATTTTGGGCGACATTTTTTTATAGTCCGAAAACTGCTGTACATATTTCAAATCTCACTTTAGTATACTATTCTACAGGAAAATTTAAGATATATAAACTTAATTTGACAGAATTTAGATGCACTATAAATGCATAAGAGCAAAAGAAAAAAATGCAATTAAAAAAAAAAAAAAATTCAAAACCTGATTTTAACATTCGTAAATATAATATTCAATGCCCTTAAAAAATATTGTTAAAATTTTTAATTTATTGTAATCCCTTTAGGAGTTATGATGGTTATAATGTTGGCTTGTGGTTTAATAATTTCCCATCAAACAATGGTGTTTTGTGAAATCAAGCTCATTCTTATTGATTTTTCCTATAAAATCAATTATTAAAGCATGATTTCCTATCAATTCTACAGTTTCTGCTCTATAAAAAATGTCGCTCAAAATCTGTGGTTTCCGCCTCAGATATGCAGAGGAAGGAGTTGGAATTTTGAAAAAATTATTACAGCATAGTAATTACTGATGCAAAAACCTTCTAAAAAGTTGTGATATCACAAAAATGGGAAACATTTTATTTTTTGAAATGAAGCCTAATATATATAAAAATGAATGTGTGTTTGTATGTTTGTTTGTTTGGACTTTATAGACAGCTAAACGGCTTAACCGATTTTTCTGAAATTTACAAAGTCTCTTCCTGTATGTCTCAAAGGAACTATAGGCTACTTTTACTTCAATATTTTAAGTGGGCGACGTGCCACGCCCACATACAAAATATGTATTAAAAGTCGTATATCTCAGAAACTGAAAGAGCTGCAGTCCTCAAATTTTGTATGCAAAACTTTGCGTCCGATAGTGGGCGTGGCACCTTCCATATGAAGAAAAACTTAAATCAGTATATCTGAGAAAATATAACAGTTAGATTCCTCAAATATTGTAGGACCCACTTTAGGATCTATATGACTTTTTAAGGAAAAAGAGGGCGTACTAGCAGTAGGGGACGTGGTTAGAACCTTCAAATTTTGCACGAAGAACTGTACCATCCATGTAAACATTTTGTGTAATAAATTGGCGGACTACCAATGGGGGGGGCGTTCCTCCTCCCATATGAATAAAATATACAAAAATTCGTTTATCTATGATACTAGCAGTGTTGCCACAACAACATTTTTTTTCTAACCAAAATTCGAATAAAAAATAACCAAATTAAGAAAAAAGTAAACAAAATTATTTTTATTTGTTTCATGTTTACATTTGGACATTAAAATAACAAATTCATTTTCTGAAGTGGAACTATGTTAAATTTCGTCGCTAAACTGGTATTATGAAGACAGTTATGAGCGTTAATGTAATTTTCTGTACGGGATCTTATATGAGACGTATGGTCAATTATGGACCAATTCTCATAAAATCTGACATAGATATTTTAGTTCCTTTAAAACTTGATTATGTTGAATTTTGTTGCTATATTGCAGTACATTATGAGCTTAAAGTCATTTTCTGAGGAGACTTTTTATGAGGAATAGAGTCAATTATGTACCGATCCTCATAAACTTTGACAAATACATTTCTAATAAAACTTTTTTATATTGAATTTCATCGCTATAGATGCTTTTTTAAGCAATATAGTAACTTTCTGAATAGGGCATAATATGGGGGCTAAGTGAAATCGTTGACCGATATTTCGCATTTTCAATACCAATCAAACTGTGTCAATTGAAAATATTTTGGCAAAATATTTCAGTTTTCCATCTTGTTTCTTTTCGACTCTATCGTGTTTTCAACAATAAATATATGTCTCTTCGCGGATTCGTTAACAAATGTAATTAATATTTATTTTAAAAAACAACTGAGTTTTTAACGCGTTTTAGCGCAATTCAAAAATACTCCACATATGACTTTTTGGAAAACAATTTTAAATTATAAAATTCTTCCCATTTTATGTACAGATTTGGAGATTTCGTTCGAAATTTGAGTTTAAATTATAATACCATGTAGCGGATGTTAGCATTAAATTCATAACTTCAGCAATATTTGTAAACGTAATCTATCCAAAATGACCAAAATTTAGAATTTAAGACAGTAAAATAAAAACTAGTATACAACATCATTTAGAAAATGTAAATAAAGAACTAAAAGTCATGGTGAGATAGTAGAAGTCAAAGGTCATGAGTATCAAATCTTTTCATATATCGCGATTATTGTTCGTCGTACGAGTTTAGATGTTATTACAACTTTTGTATAAAATACAATTTCATTTTCCTTAGCTGTGTTACTTAAAAATATCAGTTGATTAATACTTTAAAGATATTGTGATACTATTCTTGCATCAATTAGCAGAAAATACTTTATTAATTCTTATTAAATCATTTATCTTAGAATTTCGGTAAATTAGCACAGTATCTGTTTATGCAAAATTTCAAATAAGTATAGAAGTTGCAATTATACTTCAAATTTTAAATTTAATTTGGAGGACATAATCTACTAAGTACGTAGACTATTCCCACCAAATTCCATAAAAATTTAAACGCGAAATACAGCCTACTTCGTTTTTTCACATAAGTACCGCGAGTTCTATACATAAAAAGATCCAATAGAAATACTTAAGGAAGGACGGACGAGTTTGAATCGACCCAAAAAGTGATTTAAGTTCATGGATGCACAAAAAGGAGAGAGAGGATTAATTATTCACGTTGTTAGATTGACTAGTGTAAATAAAATAATATTACGGTGTTGTTATGATTTAAATCAACTCATTTAATATGTGGAAAACTCATAGGTAATTCTGCTAAATCCTAACCAATTAAGATAACGAAAAATACCCTTGTACACATAAGTATAACCAGTAGATGTACAAATTGCAGTAATAAAAAAATTTCGAATAGTAAAAAAAATTCCACATATTACCAAAATTCAAAACAGGACGATATGTATATTTACATAGTTGATTTAAAACTAGAGATAAAAGAAGTTTTTTTTTAATTTTAAATAACCAAAACGAAAAAATAATTTACATGTACACATGCAAAATAAAATAACCAATTTTGGTTAATAATAACCAAAGTGGCAACACTGGATACTAGCTTCTTAAAATTTAGCAAGAAGAACTTTACTATTCATCTGAACATTTTGGAGAAAAAGGGCGAACTTTTATCAGGGGGACTTGGAACCCCCCATATGAAGTAAATAGAAAAATTCGTATATTTGAAAAACTATTGGAGATAAAATCCTCAAATTTTGCAAGAACAACTTTAACATCTATGTCTTAAAATCTTAAAATTTTGCACGATGAAATTTAACGTTTTTTTTTGAACATTTTGGGGAAAATGGGCGGACTATCAATGGAACCTGCCATATGAAATAAGTAGAAAAAATCGTATGTCTGGGAAACTATTAGAGCAAAAATCCTTTGAAGTCAATGTGAACATTTGCATCACAGTGGGACAAAAATGTGAATTTGGCGGAAGCAAATTAAACCTTAAAAAAATCATAACAAACTCATAGCAAAATAAAACAAGTAAGAAAGTATAGTCGGGCGTGACCGACCATATGATACACTACACCAGTTATGAATAATAAATGTGATTTATTTTTCATATTAATTCATTGTTCCGATACATTTAAGCAATTTATGAATGAAAAACAAATTTTCTGAAAGAGGCTTTATATGGAGGCTAGGGGCAAATATGGACCAAGCCCGATAAAGTTTCGTGAATATATTTATATTTATGTAATATTTATTTGTGCTGAATTTCATCGCGATATTTGTGTTTATAAGTTAATTTTGGACATTCAAGTAATTTTCGGAAGGGGACTTTGTATGGGAGCCAGGGTCAAATGAGGCCCGATTTTATTTAAATTTGGCAAAGTCATCAACTTTGTTGTGCCGCTTTTTATCGATATACAGGTATATTTAACATAATTATAAGATCAGAAGCCCTTTTCGGGGGGTTCTGTTGTATGGGGGCTAGGTGTTTGGCGTGTGTGCCAAATTTCATCCAATTATCTTGAAGATTGCGACCTGTACCTTGCGCACAAGGTTTACATGGACAGCCAGCTAGACGGACGGACATAGCTAAATCGAATAAGAAAACGATTCTAAGTCGATTGGTATACTTTAAGGTGGGTATAGGACGAATAATTTTGTATGTTACAAACATCAACACAAACCCAATATACCCTCCTCACTAAAGTGGTGTTGGGTATAAATAGTGTTGTTTTTCTCAAAAAATAAATATTTATACACTAAATCTGAACA